TGGGGACCGTTCTGAGAACGTGTCAAATGATAATTTGGGATGAATGCACAATGGCCCACAAGAAGTCCTTGGAAGCGGTCCACCCCGTTTCGACGTTGATGATTTTGGAGTGTACCCCCTAATGCGCAATAACTGTACAAGGAATAAAAAGAGATGAGACAACACTGAAGAAGACTTCAAATGGCAACCCATCTAATTCCGAGAAAGACTTGGGGTTGTTTTCTAGTTTTGGGGTTCCTTCGGAATGAATGCGATGGATCGAAGAGATGCTTGCATGCTTCTATGATCGCCGAATAATTTCTCACTGCAACCCGAGATTTATTTACCTCACCTCACATCGCTGATTTTGAAATGCATCTACCGTTAACTCCGCTCAGAGGGATCCCCCGCTCAATTGAATCGCTCTCGGAGAGTCCCGATCCATTCCATGGTTTCCATTGATTTGAGCTTCCGATAATAATAATCGGATCTTCCGCTTATTGGTATCAAAATGGCGCGGTCTCGATGTGTTCCTATTAAGCGGAGCTCACTGTATATGCGCTCTCTCGGATCTTTATAAGGAATGGTAGGGGATAAGATAACACTGACTGAGAAAGGTCTCGATGGTGATCTGTCTAATTCCGAGAAAGACTTTGGGTTGTTTTCTAGGGTTGTTTGGTCCCCCCGAAAAGAAAACTATTCAGTAGACCCTCGTTATACGAACGTGAAAGGACCGGCCGAAATGGTCCCTTATATCCGAGCTCCGTTCTATCCGAAGATGAGCTCGAAGACGGAATGGGGCGTGAGAATAATTGGAAACATGACTGAAGCCTTCCTAACGACGCGAATGAGGGCGAGAAATCTCGAACCTCGTCCGAGGCTATCTTTTCCGATTTTTTTTTGCTTCGCAAGAATAGGTCCCTTATATATACATAGCCACTTTGATCAGCATAGGAGGAGATGGGACCGCGGCCTGGGAATCCGTCTGTTATATCCTAAGGTCCATTATTGGATCCGCTATAGCAGATTCACTCAAAATCGAAGATCTCTTAGGCTTGCCCGGGCAATCGGTACGCTGTAAGCCAGTGTTCGTTCTATCCCGGTTTGTGATAACGAGATAGCACTATGTGTAGATTGACGTAGATGTTTGGATGCTTTCATGATCGCCGAATAATTTCTCTTTGCACCCCCGAATTTATTGGCCTCACCGCACATCGCTGATTTTGACATGCGCTTCTGTAAGCCGAGTAAGATAGTGACGCCCCCTATTCCGAAACCGGTATTGCTTGTGGTCAGTGGATCTCTCCGGTACCGCCCCTCATCTTATATGATTTAGATTGGGACTTCCCCTGTCGTCATTCTTCGGTCATCTTCCGGATATATGTACACCACCGTGCTCCCAAATCGTGATTCGTGATGGTGTTCTCCGTATCTACTGTGACAGCCTCGAAGCCAGGCACAGACAAGCTCTGCCATGAGGGACATATGTACGTGTTTGACGAATCGAGTGCCAAGCAACGTACTGAGTTTTGGCGATTCCGATTCCGGGGAAGCTGCAAAGTGCGTCTCCACAAGATCGTCATCGGCGGCGAGGTGATCGAGGTCAAACTTTTTCGGGCTGATCCACACAGCCAAGGTTTAACGTCCCGGGTACTGTTATTCTCATTGCTTCCGAGGACGGATCCATAGAGCAAATGTACCCAGGAGGATCTAGGCCGAGTACCTGCATATTTTTCCGGCAGCAGGGATCGAACCCACACCGCCTCCCGCGCGAGGTGATCGAGGTCAGCGGAAGCCATAGTGACCCTCCGGATGCCGCCAGCATTGACGTAATCGTCCGCCGGAACGCCCTGAAGCGACGAGCCAAAGAAACACAGGAGACTCCCGCGCAGCTCATCAACCATGTGCAAGCCGGAGCAACTGCCGCTGTCCAAGTCGAATTCCCCAACAACCACGAAGTTAAGGTAAATGTTCTCCCGAACCTGCAGGTTGCAGTTCATGCGTGTTGGTATCTTCTTATCATCTCCTCCCGCACTTCAGGTCGTGAACAGGGTACGTAAAGCCTGCAGCAGCGCGCCCGTCGCTCTGAGCAGCCGGAGTACGATCATCATTCTCGAAAATTACACGAGGTACGAGCCCGTCCCCAGTCAGACAGAAAGGTACCTCATCGGTGACTCGGGTTATGGGGATGATGACCGGATTTTGGTCTCCGGTCGCGAGTCGACAGTTCGACAGGTCAGTGGATCAATCGATCCTGACTTCCATGCCTATTTGATTTTAGTCTAAGTATATGAGTTCCGAGATATACCCTCCATCGTCTTCCACAGGTGAATGGATATCCCTCGCCGAGAAGATCTATGTAGATGGGACCTTCAGCTTGGCGCCCAAGCTCTTCGCGCAGGTATTCGCTATTAGCGTAGAACTACGCTATAGCCCCCGGTGACGGGCACCAACTTCAATGGGAAGTATTGGGGGGCCGAAGCTCGAAAAAAATCGAATCTCGGAGATAGCATGCGTATGTGCTGGGGTCGTCTGCCAGAGGCTTACGCTCTTTCTCTATGCGAGTCACCTGTGTAACAAACTTGTCGAGCTTATTTCTCTGAAACAGAGCGTTTGACAATGAAAATGGTGATGGCTGAATATGTCCGGCTGAGAATGAGGCACCTTTTATGCTAGTCAATTTGCCCCTTATCTTGATTATTTCATAAAATACAGGCCAAGAAGTAGGCTCGTTCTCGCAGAACGTCGGAACGAAGACTCGGAGGCTGAAAAATCTGAGGGCAAGAAACCCTCAGCATACCTTGATTAGTCCTAATCAACTGTTCTGGAAACGCTATGTCGATTGATGGGCCCAGAAATTCCCTCTTTCTGATTTTAAATATATATTTGGCGGAGAATCTCTCCTCCGCTAGAGATGGATCTATTTCTTCAGGATCGCCTCAGTTTTTGCTAAATTAATCGTTGAAACTTTCCTCAATTCTTCCTCCACCCCGCGACGATGTTGAAGACAACTAACACCTCCGGTTGAGGTTGTATAATGACAGCGGAAAACGATGTGCGCGCGTTCTTCATTTCATATCTCCTCTAATGAGAATGGACTCTCGTCGTTCATTCTAGCCTTGGCTACTACATTCATGCGTTTCCTTCCCTCATTGGTCGATGTCAATGGTCGCGGAAGGCACCGGCGGAGAACCTTCTGACTAGCAAGCTAAGGATGCCGGACTCCGTGAAGAAAAAAGAACGAGTTGCCCCTAATACATCGTCAGCCATAATCCCGACATAAGAAAACGAACAGTGTTCAGACAAGCGATACGAAGCAGATTCCCGTAACAAACAAGGGCGAGAAGTCGTAGTTCAGTTCAACCGAAGTGGTCCTCAGGAAATCACCTATCAGGCAGGACGCAACGTGGTGCTAAGAGAATCTAGCCACGGCGGGCCGTACGGCTTAGCGGACGATTGGGAGGGAGTGGTTCCCCCAACGATAAACTTTTTAGACGGTGCTGTCGTCCTGTCGCAGCATTGTGAATGAATGAACGTGTGTCTCTCGCGTTGGGACAAATCATTCCAGCATGAAGAGCTCTCTTTTTTGATTGCCGCCGCCCAGTGATGGTCTCGAAAAGGAGGATAAGGGAAGGCCATCCTTACAATGCCGAATCATGATCATTCTAAGGTTTCGACATTCCATTTAGAACCTCATTTTATTAGTCTTCAACTAATTCATCCCCATCATCGTCTAGATGCGGATGCGCGGCCTCGCGATACTCGAAAAATCCTCCATCGGACATGCAATGATTGTTCCTTGAGATCGGCAATATGACATCTCATCGAGAGAGCAGATCATGTAGCAGCGTTTCTCCTAGGCGGACATGGTCATGGAATCTAATGTACCTTTCATACGCATAGTCGCGATGTTCTTTAATCCTTATATCCTCCACGAGGAAGTGTGGCACTCGGTCACGTACCGGTTGCCGTCCGAATTGCGGGTTGCCAAGCTGAAAACGACGCCGCACTCGGTGCAGATATCGGACCGTATGAGTTGAGTTCTTTGATCTCGTTTCCCTCAAACTAAAAAAGCGTCTTTTGAACAACGGCCAGAGGAAATCTCGTGATACCCTTCGTCGACCGGAGGGTAGTATCGAAAATCTTTCGCAGATCTTCGAACTCACGGAACTACGTGTTCCGTGTTCACGTAGTTCTACGCCCACAAACCGCCTGAGTCCCTGACTCGGGCACCCCGGAGATTTTTTTGGGGAACGCTCGGGATTCGTGATCCCGCCCTGCTACGCACTCTTACCGAACAAGAGTCAGGCCACCTACAGCCGAATTCTGGATCTTCTTCTCCGAGCCTGGCCCCAATTCAGCCCCCGCCGCGTGGCGCTCGACTTCGAGGTCGGCCTCCTCAACGATTTCCGACTGGCATTCCCGGAGGCCAGGATCGACAGGTGCCTCTTCCACCTCGTCAAGAACATGGAGGTAAAGCTGTGCGATCTCTCGGCCTTTGTACTCGTTACGAGAACGAGACGGAGTTCCCAGTGCAAGCGCGGATGATACCCGCACTCGCCTCCGTGCCACCACACTGAATGGACCTTGCTGTCGGTGAGCTCGCTCCATACCTATCTGAGGAGCTGATGCCCGTCCTCAATTTTGACGTGGGACACGTCTTTAGGCTCAATTGAGTAAACAGTGTAACGAAAAGCGCCGCGGATCTGACGTCCCGAAATCCACAGGCGCCGAATTAAAAAAAAAAAAAGCGACTCCATTGACCGGGATGCATTGCTCAGTTCCAAATGCACCAGACCGACATTGAAGTGCTGGGTATTAGACATGCTGTCTCCAATGATGATAACAGCCTCCTATTCTTCGTCAATTAACTTCTGTGCAAAATGCTAGGATATGCTGTTCAACTTCCGGTCGATATGTGAGCAAGAGAACTTGTTTCCAGCGGTTCGTCTGCTTGCTCGTTCGATCGCCATACCGACGGCTGGTCGAGTGGTTAGCGCGTTTGTCACTACTCGTGCGAACATGCGTTTCACTTCGTGAAATGCCACAACGACGCCGCTCGCGCGGGAGGCGGTGTGGGTTCGATCCCTGCTGCCGGAAAAATATTCCTTACGGAAGCGCAGGCACTCGGCCTTGATCCTCCTGGTAACATTTGCTCTATGGATCCGTCCTCGGAAGCAATGTGAATAACAGTACCCGGGACGTCAAACCTCGGCTGTGTGGATCAGCCCGAAAAAGTTAAATCGAATGTCTCCGCGGCCGGGCAGACGATTCGAGCATTGAAGATGAACATTTGTTTCTAGCTGTTCGTCCGCTGGTACGTTCGACCGCACAACAACAACACAACAACAACCGTGTCCCACGTGAACGCCAGGTTCGGCTGCAAGCCGAACCTGCTCGGACTTTTTTGAGGACGATTACCTCGGCCGCCCCAGAACATGAAATATAGTTCTCTCCGAGAGCTATATTTCATGTCTCATCGACTTCTGATCGTTCACTTCGTTTCTTAGGAACGCTCCTGGAGGCGAGATCGCGCGAAGTCGCACTCTCGACGGGGAAACGCGGACAAACAACTTTGCCGAGGCAGCTCACAGGCGACTCCAGGGCGAGTTCGGAGTGGATCATCCAAGCCTGTGGAGGTTCATCGACGGCATCCGAAAAGTTCAGCGTAGCAGGGATGTGGCCTACGAACGTTCAGTGGCGGGTCACGAACCCGAGAAGAAAAAAAGTAAGTACATCGAAGCCGACAAGAAAATTCTCAAAACTGTTAGGGAGTACGGCTCACGATGTGGAACTCGTGTGGAATTCATTCGATTCATGTGGAATCTACGATTCGAAATGCCTGAGTCGAGGCGAGAAGCGGAAACCGCGCGGTTTCGGCACAAGAAGCAATGAAGGATCGCCCGGTTTCCGCTTCTCGCCTCGACTCACGCATTTCAGATCCTCCGATGATCACACTGGACTGCTTGTGGCGTTTTCGAGAAGACTTGAGGGAAGGTTATGGACCGACGTGGGGAATAAAGGAGCTCACCTTCGACTACAATATGGGAGCTCGGACAGCTTTCTTCGCCGAGCCTAAGCGGGACGACTACACGGCGGACCTCCGCTTCTCTATGGACGCTCGCGTCAACACCAGTCGTCGATCGCATGCGCGTGGTATTTGGAAGACAATCGTACAGTTTTCGAAATCATATCTTCCCCGGAAGCGTGATAAACGATAACCATCAAGACGAGGTAGATCGGGAATGAGAAGGACTTGGGAGTCTTTTTAATCGAGCTGAGTCAACATGGCGAAGATTTCAAGTTTTAGGAGTCAGTGGAACATGTCACATCGCATCGATCACATACCGTTGACAAAACAGGTCATGCGCCACGCATTCTGTTTTCACTCTCGAATTTCAAGCCGAGAGGAGGAAGCCTTCGCGGATAATCATCGCTCGAGTGACATCGACGAGCTCCATTAACCCTCGGAGGACTCGGAGGTCTGTCTCCTCCGATGCTAAACAATATCAATATACATACTAGATATTCTGCTAGATATTCGACTCAATCATCAATAAACTTTCCCGTATACTTCATGCGTGATTGATGACGATGAAATATACGCACCTAAAAGGAAGCGAATTTGCCGCTTCGGAAGAGTCGCCTCTCAATGTTTGATGGAGCAGCGACGGCTGCAATCCAATTAAAAACTCACTATATTCGATCGCAGTCGAAGCTCTCGATAGCGGCCCGTCCGCATGAAGACTGAACTCTCTATGCATCAGCCGACATGTCTTCATTTCCAGGATCTTTCATCCCTAGCAAATAGTCTCACGGTCAGCCGACCACATCTGTCTAGATTTATGGGGGTGTTTTCAGCGCTGCCCTGTCGCAATGTCCTTCTGAACTTCGAGTTCCTCCCGATTGAGGCAAGGCTGCTCCACTCGCCGGCTCTCTGCGGACTTCCTCTCGCCCGGCGCGACATTCAACCAGAAGAAGTAGTATCCGATCGTCTCGAGGTAGGATGAGGGTGTCCTCAGCTCTTCCTCCTCCTGTTCGGAACCTCATTTCCAACCTCCCGTTCGGTCTCATGTCCCGGGGAGGCAGTCGGTTTCAAACCTCCGCCTCTCGTGCTATCGGCGCGGCTTCGTTTCAGCTTACACCTGCACGACGAGGGACAGACATGCTTGCCTAGAAGATCCGCTTCAGATAGCCTCCCAAGTACTCGCTCTCCACTACACGCTCAAATCAGGTACCGTAGGGCAGGAATATTCATTCCTACGTCTTCTCACAAAGGATCTCCTAAGAGAATCTCCGGCGATCATGAGAGCTCATGATCAGCTCATCCATGTCTCAGAACGAAGCTCCGCTCATGATGAATCGCTGTAATAAGGAAGCGGAATGCATGCCCCAGCTTCGAAAACAGAGTCTCTCGAAGTTTCGGTCAGCTAGCCTCACAACTGATTTCGACCGTTCATTTTCTTCCTCGCTCGAATGCATCAGCCACCTCACGAGCCTTGTCGCGGATTGTCGATCCGTGAACCTCCAGGCTTCGATGATCGAGAGCAAGTTCTCCATTATGCGCTTCTCTGCACACGCACATTCCGCATTGAACGTCTGCGTCAACACCTCTAGAGACCTGCACAGACATACAGTCAGTCAACGAGTGTTCGAATCGAGAGCTGTCGATCCGGAATCCCATCTTCCTCCGGCGGACCTTGACAGTGTACCTCCGTTTTACAACTTGTGATTTGTGAAAACGGAGGCAACCATGACTACAGCCTTCAAGGTCCCCACAGCCACGATGAACTACCCTTGCAAATTGATCCCAATGTTGTGCCTTCTCATTCGATGCTGCGTCGGGGAGCTCGCCGATTGCGAAAAAGATCATCTCCCCTTGAGCCTCGGAGAAGGTCCGCTCCATGCCAGGGCCGAGCTCATGGCCTTCAGTCGCGACTGCACCATGGAAGTTTGGCTGCATTACTTCAAAAAGAATCGTTCAGAAGACGTTCCGTGGGATGGTGTAAGCGTCGAGACGGAGGGCAATTTTAACTTTGGACACCAAAGTATACACTTCAGCTTTGACTTCCACGCTTTCTCCATCTGGCTCAGCATAGAAATCATCGAAGATTTCGATATACTTTACACCGCAGAGGGAAGGAGCGCGAAAGTCCCAGATGGAACGACGTGCACGGACGGTCGTGAGAAGTCCCAGGAGAACATTTGCGAAATCCCGCTCTCTCCGCTAGAACCATCCAGGATTTTCCTTCCCCGATCGCGGGGCAGAGAGCCATACTGAAGCGTTCAGTCGAGCAAGTCGAGCAGTCTTGAGCTGCGTCTGGGCCGCAGCGACCGAAGCCCTTTCATGCCGCCGACCACCTCTGGAAAGTCTCCGCTGAAATTGGATCTGCGCCCAAATCGCCTTGCGCTCGAAAGTACATGCACCACTTGAGGGCGTCTTCAGAATCAAAATATGTCGAGGCAAGCATATTCGAGCCTGAAGAATGGTAATAATGGAAGTTATGATCGACATCCGCATAACCAATAACAATAAACGTATCCCATAAGATCAATCGTTTTGACCGCATCACAGGTAGGTAATGTCGATGAGATGATTCGATGAGATTCGAGCGACAATTAGGGATGTCAGCGGTTCCAGAGCCGCGGTCCTAGAACCGCAAGAACCGCTTCGGGCAGAAGCTGATTTGGCACCGAATCGAGAGCGACATTTTCGTGACTATTGGTACGCAGGCCTATAGATATATCGATCGTCCTCGACGTATCAGCCGGGGATCCTTCGCGGCGCGCAGAGCGAGACTACGTGCACCCGAAGTGCGAAGAGATACGTTGGCGAGAGCGGGGAAAAAATTTGGCGGCTGCCTTGTTTATTGTGGGTCGTGGAGGCCACCAGTGGTTCCCTGCTGAAGTGCGAGAAACCGTCGGACGCATCGGATAAGTCCCGATAAAGCTAGGGAAGACATCGTTCGAGAATTTCATGTGAAAGGTAGATGTTGTGAACAATTGTGAGTTCTGAGTTTGTGCGTTTCAAGGATGGTAATTGTGAATAAAGACGATCATCGTCTCCATCCTATAGCATCTCTTCCTTTCGAATTATATAATTTCTGTGATTCGATAGCTCCGTGACGTCAATCAGGACGGGGTTGAGGCCTCTATCTCCTCACTTTGTGCCACAAGATCGAGTGAGGGAACTTAACGGATAATCGAACTACAGAACAACATTAATTTATTCCCTCGTTGATTCATTCGTTTTGTTTGAGACCAATGACTTACGATCCAGAGACCGCCTTCCTCTGCGAAAAACCACCGTCTCCTCCGCTGCTGTCAATGATTTATTGTAGGCAAGATCGATATTCTAGAAGAAATTGCTCAACGGTGACTCGCAGGTCTGTGCATGAGAGATCCCTTCATCCGGATGTGCGAAGGCGGTTCGGCCGATCTTCACGCGAGAGCCGGAGATCCTTTCTGCAGAGCGACAAAGACATCCGTGAACAGGCGGTCAGCAAAATCTCTTGAACGAGAGGGTTTGCTATTCCCTCAGGTGGTAACTGACCTTTGCTTCTGTTGGCTGACCGTTGCTCTGTTCTGTTTCCTTCTGATTAGCCTCATCCTTTTCAGCCCAGCACTTGAACTCGCTGCAGGAAAAAACCTGAGGAGAGAGCCGAGCCTTAGCGAGACCTTCTGATAATATCAATCTCGCTGTGATTTCCAATAATCAGAGTCTCCTCCGACGCACGTACCTTGCTGCCAGAAGATGCTGTACCACATATTTTGATGAAGCTGACCGGAACTGTAGCGAATTTCAATCTCTGCAAGGATTTACAACGATCCCGGGTGCGATCAATCACACGAGTCCATTTTTTGCGATCGGAAGAAACTTCGACGAAGTAGGAGAAATCATGCGAATCTTTTTGTGGCAGGACCATACTGATGGAATTCACGGCATACGGCTGCGACAACTGAACGATGATCGGCTCGCCACCTATTTCATGCTCGGTCCAACCTGTCCCCGCGAGCTCGTCTTTGGACTTGCCACCTATCATCTCATCGATACCTCCCGTGCATTGTAGGACAGTAGCTCCCAAGCTCACTGTTGCGACATTCTCCGCAGGAGCGTAGTACCCTTTGCAAGAATTCCAATCTTGCCCAGTATAAGACGCTTCGAATTCGGACAAATAATCGATTTTTTGCCGCGGGAGGAGTCGAATGAAACGAACGATTCTCGGCTTGAAGTGAAGTCTTTGGGGAGAGCGACAGACTAATTCGGGTTGATCGATGACACGGATCCAATTCACAAAGTCGACCGAGACCTCGACGTGGTACCCGAAACTCGCCGAGCTTCCACGAGGCAATCGGAACGAGATATAGTCGACGAAGAAGGCTTTGCTGAGCGCAACTGTGAACGCCTTTTCGACCGGCAGGTCCACAGAGCAGTTATCTTCGGGCATATCTTCGCTGCGATAGCACAGTTCGACCTCCGGGAAAGCGAAAACTTTGGAATCGTCCTTTACGATAACGAGCCTCTTCGCTCCGTTCTCTTTGGTGGACAGATTCTGTCCACTTGTCAGGACGCCCCTGAGAGGCAGATCTGCTGAATGACACTCCCGCATCTGGATGGCTTCGATCACTCGATCCGTCGTTATCAGACCCGAGCTCGTGACCTCAGAAAGAAGATTTCTCGTCGGGATTAGTGGCAGTCGAAGCCGACCCAGCACTTCGGCCTGGTCTTCTGAGTCAGGATTTTTCTTGCACCAACGAGTCACAGCCCTAAAGATGTCGATCTCCTCCGCGCAGAAAGAATCACGCGATAGAATTCGACTCAAAGTACGCGCACGAGAAGTACAGAAAGCCTCGCTCTCGAGAACTGCCTGTGGGACTTGATCCATGAAATGGACACAAACTTCATGCAGGTGCTTGAGGCTGAGCGGCTCAATCGACTCGCAGATTAGCAAGACATTGTCAGCGGACATAATTTCTTCGAGATACTCGCAGAGTGATGTTCGCATCTTCTGAAGTCCATAGAGATCTGCCACGGAAAGAACTTCCAGAATCGTCTCAACATCCATTGATTTCAATTCCAACTGCGCGGTGTAGATGTACTTAAGCACCGCTTTGAACCCTCGGGCTGGGACGTCCTTCAGCTCGACCTCTTCCTGGTCCGACTCCATCATTCCTCCACGGAAGAGTGCCCTGGGAAACGGCCAAACGTTTAGAATCTCGGAGAATCCGAATTGGCAAGATGATTGCAACAGATTCGTGAAGGATCCGGGATCTCGAAATGTTCAAAAATCGTTCCATGCTCTCTGTAGGAGATCGTAGAGCTGAATGTCGACCTCGTCCGAAATATTCAAACTAATTGTGTATAACATGAAGAACGAGAGTGGCTTCTCACTCACTGCACCAGAGGAAGATATATTCATGCTGAATTCACAAACTTTGTGAGAATGGGAACGGGACATGCAGGAGAAGCTTGAAATGATGAAGATGATGGTCGGAGGCGGAGAGCGGATCTCAAAGTGTTGCTTCGGTGATGACTCTCGGCTTTTCTCCTTGCGACCACCGGAACTCCGACCACGGCCTCTGAGCTCGACGAAATCTTCGCATCGAGAGCATTGTCGACCCCGATCACAAACTTGCCGGCTCCCGCGTCGTCAGGCTCACCACCTATCACGCTTGCCACCGCCGCCGACGGAGAGTCGATCGAGAGAAACTGTTCTTATAGTCGAAGGAACTCGGAGAATCACACGGAAAACGACAGATTCCAGGAATCCACGGGCGATCGACCGGCTCGCTCCATTCACACACACTCCC